TTTTTTTTTTAGTTTAGTTTTTTAGCTTCTATTTGCTCTGATAAAAGAACATCAGCAGCTGAAATAAACTCTTAGCAGTGGAGATGCTCTGATAAAGTTTTCAATCTGTTTTTAAGATACAGCGTCCAGTAATTAACCAGACACCTTTTCTTGTTTGTTCCCATCATATAAAAGGCAGACCGTTCCTATTTAAGCTTATTTAATGCAGACAGGAAGGCAGGAAAAACAGAAATACATCCACAGATCGTTTTATTCTCACCGTTTCTTTAAAGCTTTCCCTCTCCTCCAGGGTGAGTGTGTCAGCTTTGGCGATGACAGGGACGATGTTGACCACTTTGCTGAGACGCCTCATGAACTCCACATCCAGAGGTCTGAGACTGCAGGATTAAAGAGACATTTCAGTGGAAATAAACGTCCTGTTTCTCTCTGCTCTGTAGAACACAGTGGCAAAAAAAACCCTCCAAGATTTAAAGAATTAGATGTAATGAAACAAATAACCAATAGGGGGCAGTGATTATCTGTTTAAAAATATTTGATTCTTTTTGATGTTGGTGAAGGGTTTGCTTTTTTTTCTTTTTCCTTTTTACTTCTTAATACTACAGAAGAGGATTAGTGGGAAAAAAAAAAAAAAAAGTTAACTGATTTTTAAATTTTATTTCCGTTTAGTATGGGGAAAAATTCAGAATTCTGAGAAAAAACTTTAATCTCAGAATTCTGACTGAATTCTGACAATAAAAAAAGTCCGAATTCTGAGATTAAAGTCAGAATTCTGACTTTTTTCCCATATTAAACTGAAATAAAATTTAAAAATCAGTTAATTTTTTTTTCCAGTGGCCCTAACCTTCTTCCGTTTAATACTACAATCTACAACAAATGTTTTCCTCTCTTTAAGACGCTCGTTCATATTATGGAATAAACTATGCAGCTTGTTTCTACAGCAGAAGCTTTTAGTTTTAATGTATTTTGAATTTTATCTCACAGTTGTAAAGTGGAAAAGAAATATCACTTTGTAGGGCAAGTTTCTGTTTTTGGTCACTTTATTAAATCAGCGCTAAGATGATATGTTACCTATGGTAAATAAAGTTGAAAAAATTTAATAAATAAAAAAGCTGAAAATCAATTTTAAAAGTTAAAACATGAAAAAAATGTAAGCGGCTGCATCAGTTTATGTTTTAACAACAAAGAAAAAGTTTTTTTCACTCTGATTATTTTTCAGGAATTTCTCATATTAAGTCAGAAACTTCATTTTAACGTCTAAAAAATACACGTTTAAAATGTTGGGATAGTAATGAGGTCTTGTCCTTTCCTCCACTAACACTCTGAGCTTAGAAGTATTTCACTGAGTCCCACTATGAAGGGTTAAGTGGTTTATAAAATATTTGACAAAAGTCTGAGAGTGTGGCGCTCATTTAATTTAGGCTCCCGTGGTCAATGCTAGCAAATCTCTATTGCTACAGAATCAGACTTTGCTCTGGTCTAAAGTAGGGATGCACGATATAATCGGCCCCCTATCGGTATCGGCCTTAAAACTGAATATCGTCCACCCCACCGATATTTAACCCGATATTTGATCAGCTTCTGAGTTTCTAAAGTCTCTTCTTCTTCAAAAACTTCTTTTTTACAGACTTAAAAACTTCTAAAGACGAGGGAAAAAATATTGATCCATTAAAATATCCCAATATCTTCATATGCTGATATATTGCCATTTAAAAACACCATATCAATCTCTTTTACTAATGAAATATTGCTATATGTCATCGTTATGCTACGAAATCCCCCGAAAATTCACGAAATGTTGCCATATTTTCATATGTTGATATATTGATGCGGTATAGATCTATTTTACTAA